ACTTTTCATATGGGATTGTTCTTCTTTCCTGAGGTAAACCTGTATTGCAGTATACTTCCCTCTTAGCATGGCCTTCACTAGTTCCCACAGATTTTGCAGTGTTGAATTATTGTTGTCATTTGTCTCTATATATTGCTTGATCTGCTTTTATTTGGTTAGTGATCCATTGATTATTTAGGAGCATGTTGTTAAGCCTCCATGTGTTGTGGGCTTTTTCATTTTCTTTACATAATTTATTTCTAGTTTCATACCTTTGTGGTCTGAGAAGCTGGTTGGTACAATTTCAATCTTTTTTAATTTACTGAGGCTATTTCTGTGGCCTAGTATATGATCTATTCTAGAAAATGTTCCATGTGCACTTGAAAAGAATGTGTATCCTGCTGGTTTGGGGAGGAGTGTTCTGTAGATATATGTTAGGTCCATCTGTTCCAATGTGTTGTTCAGTGCCTCTGTCTCTACTTACTTTCTGTTTAGTTGATCTGTCCTTTGGAGTGAGTGGTGTGTTGAAGTCTCCTAAAATGAATGCATTACACTCTGTTTCCCCCTCTAATTCTCTTAGCATCTGTTTCACATATGTAGGTGATCTTGTCTTGGGTGCATGTATATTTATAATGGTTATATCCTCTTGTTGAACTAACCCCTTTATCATTATGTAATGTCCTTCTATGTCTCTTGTTACTCTCTTTGTTTTGAAGTCTATTTTGTCTGATACAAGTACTGCAACACCTGCTTTTTTCTCCCTATAGTTTGCATAAAATATCTTTTTCCATCTTTTCGCATTTAGTCTGTGTATGTCTTTGTGTTTGAAGTGAGTCTCTTGTAGGCAGCATATAGATGGGTCTTGTTATTTTATGCAGTCAGTGACTCTATGTCTTTTGATTGTTGTATTCAGACTATTTACATTTAGGGTGATTATTGATAGGTATGTACTTATTGCCATTGTAGGCTTTAGATTCGTGGCTACCAAAGGTTCAGCGGTAACTTCCTTACTATGTAACAGTCTAATTTAACTCAGTATGCTATTACAAACACAATCTAAAGGTTCTTTTTTTTCCCCTCCTTTTTCTTCCTCCTCCATTCTTTATATATTAGGTATCATATTTTGTACTCTTTGTCTATCCCTTGATTGACTTTCAGGGTAGTTTATTTGATTTTGCATCTGCTTAGTAATTAATTGTTCTGCTTTCCTTACTGCGGCTTTATTTCCTCTCATGACAGCTATTTCGCCTTAGGAACACTTTCATCTATAGCAGTACCTCCAAAATATACTGCAGAGGCTATTTCTGGGAGGTAAATTCTCTCTGCTTTTGCTTACCTGGAAATCGTTTAATCCCTTCAAATGTAAATGATAATCTTACCAGATAGAGTATTCTTGGTTCAAGGCTCTTCTGCTTCATTGCATTAAATATATCATGCCACTCCCTTCTGGCCTGTAACGTTTCTGTTGAGCATTCTGATGATAGCCTGATGGGTTTCCCTTTGTATGTGATCTTTCTCCTCTCTCTGGTTGCTTTTAAAAGTCTATCCTTATCCTTGATCTTTGCCATTTTAATTATATGTTTTGGTATTATCTTTCTTAGGTCCCTTATGTTGGGAGATCTCTGCACCTCCATGGCCTGAGAGACTATCTCCTTCCCCAGATTGGGGAAGTTCTTAGCAATTATCTCCTCAAAGACACTTTCTATCCCTTTTTCTCTCTCTTTTTCTTCTGGTACCCCTATAATACGAATATTGTTCCGTTCGGATTGGTTACACAGTTCTCTCAATATTCTTTCCTTCCTAGAAATCTTTTTTTCTCTCTGTTCCTCTTCTCTAATTTCTATTCCATTTACCCTCTCCTCTAGTGCATCTAATCTGCTTTTAAATCCCTCCACTGTATATTTCATTTCAGATATTGTATTCCTTAGTGATTGAATCTCTGTCCTAAATTCATCCCTGAGTTGAATATTTTTCTTAACGTCCATGAGCATGTTTATAATTCTTATTTTGAAATCTCTTTCAGGAAGATTGATGAGTTTAGTTTCATGTTTTCCTTTTTCTGGTGTTTGTGGGATTTGGGTTTGAACCAGGTTCCTTGACATTTCATATTTGTATGTGCTGCCCTGTAGTGTCCAGAAGCTCTATTCTCTGTAGCTGCTCAGCCTCCTGAGCAGTGTTGGGGGTTGCAGGGGAGCAGCACTGGTCCCTGGGGGGAGGAAAGAGCTGTTTCCTGCTTTCTGGCTGCTGTGCCTGTCTCCACTGCCAGAACCAGTCAGCAGAGCACACAGGTATAAACCTCTATGCTTTGCGTCTGTAGCTCCTGTAGACAGGCCTCCCTTTGGCTTACCTGGCTCCAGATCAGGGGCTGCCAGTTTGCGAGCCAGTGCCAGCAGGTCGAGAGGAAGGTGCATCTGGCTGCGAATCACAGTGGGGACTTCAGAGCTACATAGCCAGCAAGGGGATGGAGTGCCTGAAGCTCCTGAAAGTTCCTTACCTTGGGGGCTGAGTGCACCCACACAATTTTGTCCACCTGACCATTCTTCTGAGCACTAAGCTCTATGCAGTCCTTGCCCCTTTAGCAGCCCTCTCACTGTTAGCAAGTCTCAGACTGCCCACCTTTCTTTTGTCCCAGAGCAGCCAGGTGTGGGTCCCTGTTTTCCACAAGTGGCTGGAATCTCAGTCTCTCCAAGTCTTAGCTTTCCAACCCCATTGTCTTAGCTTTCCAACCCCACTAATCTCCAGAGCACCATGCAATGTAGGTTCATGCTCCCATAGCATATCTCCCAGTCTGGGTGTTCACCAACATTAGGCCTCCACACCCTCCCCACTCAGTTTCTCCTCTTCCTGCTGATGAGCTAGGGTGGGGGAAGGGCTTGGGTTCTGCAGGATCACAGCTGTGGTACCTTACCCTGTTCCATGAGGTCTGTTCTTTTATCCAGGTGTATGCAATCTGGTGCAGCCTTCTTCCATGTTGCTCTTTCAGGATTAGTTTTTGTATTATATGTGGTTTTGGGAGGTGGCCTCTGTCTCACCTCTGACACTGCCATCTTTAATTCTCTCCTAGTATGCTCTTTCAATATCAGATTTTAATCCGTATTTTCTTATACATTTGTGTGTGTTTACATAGGCATGGAATTTATATTTTAACACTTGAATCTTTTTGGAGTCACAGCCTCCTTTCCCCCCACCTACTATGTGGATTTTAGAATTTGACAGTTACTCTAAAAAAAGTCCTGGAATTTTGAGTGGGATTACAGTTAATGTACAGCTCATTTGGGAAGAATTTACATTTTAACAATATTAACTATTCTAACCATGAACACAGTATATCTCTTTACTTTGTTGTTTCTTCAATTTCTCTCACCAGTGTTTTATAGTTTTCAGTATGCATATCCTTCACATCTTTCATCAGGTGTTTCCTAAAGTATGTCATATTTTAATGCCATTGTAAATGGAATATATTTTTTTATTTCGATTTCTGATTCATTGTGATTTGTATATGGAAATAGTTTTTTTTTTTCTTTGCTAGTTTTGTATCCTGAAGCCTTGCTAAAGCCAATTATTAGTTCTTTTGGCTGATTTTTTAAATTCCATTTAGATTTTTTACACAAATGTGGGTGCAGGACCTGACAGTGAGTACCTCCTTAAATTTCCTTCCCAACATGCCTTGCTTGTGTCACCCTAGTCTTAAGCTCAGCATGGACACTCATATTTGTAAAGACAGTTTTGTTTCTTTCATTTATATGTTTTGTCCATTTTTGGATAGTTTCAAGCAGTAGGGCAAATCTGGTCCCTTTGACTATTTTGGCCAGAGGTGTAAGAACTGTATTACCTGTCATTTGCTTTTTAAATTTTGATTATGGTAGGTTTTTTTTTTTATTTTAATAAAGACTCTTAGTTCATGCAGGAAAAGCTTTCTAAAGTTGACAATTCTTAACATTTTCTGACACATACAATCCTTTAAGAGATAGATCTGATGAAAGTTATGGGTCTCATTCCCAGAAGTACTTACAGAATACACAGATTCATTTCTGTATGTAGCACTAGTTGTCCATAGAATCTCTGAAGGCTCAAATGTTGATTCCATGTTATGAATCTTTGTTGTAATTAGTTTCTTTTCATGTCATGTTAGGAAAGACCTTTCACTTAAAATTATAAAAGTAAGGAAATACTTTTATTAAATAATTATATTTTTCCTCCTTTTATATACAAACAGGTATTTAAAATTTTTCACATTTGTATATTTTAAATGACCAGATTAAATAATGTATGTGAAAGCATCCTAAAAGCCATAAAGTGCCATACTGATACTATTGTCCTCATCGTTATCATCATCATCAAAACATTTACCCTTTGAACCATCTGTTCCACTCTGGGAAATTAATTTCAATAATTGTTTTAAAAAACAAATTAAACAATGAAAGTAATTATTCACACGTGGTCTATAATGAGAGAAAGTAGAAAACATTTAGTAAATATTTAAAAGAATGCATATTAGATGAGATAAGCATGTAAAAGTGCTAATTACATAGTTATAGAAAAGTGAAAAATATTATTTAAATTGAAAAAATGTTAAATTTTATTTATACTATGTCTTACATAAAATGTAAACGTATAAAGATTACAAAAGATATAGAAATTTGAAAACAATTGTTTTAGATGGGTTTGTGAGTAATTTTTTTGTTTTTGCATATCCTTTATTATATTATGCCTCTGACTTTTTATATTTTCCATATATGTATATTTAAAGTTAGGCTCCCATCCCAATTTGTTGTTCACCAGATCAATATAGTATATGGTCTTCAAGATTCAGTATAAATACTGTCTGGCATAAATTATCTGTGAAATTATTATATCTCCTTATTTACAGTTTATTTCGCCAGTCATGTTGTCTTATTATTACCCAGTATTTAAAATGTATTGAGTAATTTTTGATTACTTGCTTAATGTTTCAACTTTATAGCTTACTTATTACTTTATTTGCTCTGATGATTTGAATTAATAAGGATTCATTTTTCCAGTTGCCCAGCAGGAGGCTGAAATGTTCAAACGCTACAATGGAACATTTCCATTGCCTGGAATACATCAAAGTCAGGATGCTTTATGCACCTGTCCTAAACTGCCTCATCAAGGCTCTTTTCATATTGAGGACTATGTCCACACTGACAATTCTTCAGTGAAGATGCAGCAAGTGAAACAGAGGCTCGATTCTGTCACAGTACGTGTAACTATTATTTTTTAATGGAGTTATAAAGCTAGAAATTTTATAACCACTTGAATCTTGTTTTTCATTGTCATATCAATAAATATTAATTCAACAAAATAAGTTAGTCACTTAAAAGTAAGCTTTCTTGTACTTTTATAGTTCCTTTCTGGTTACTTAAAAATCACTAACTACAGACGAGGGTGGAGCCAAGATGGCGGCGTGACTAGAGCAGCGGAAATCTCCTCCCAAAATCACATATATTTATGAAAATATAACAAAGACAACTCTTCCTAGAATAGAGACCAGAGGACACAGGACAACATCCAGACCACATCCACACCTGTGAGAACCCAGCGCCTCGCGAAGGGG